CTGTACTAATTTTAGAGTTTACAATGACTGTTTCTGAACCTCCATTTTTTCATATTAGGTCAGGCTGCTAGCTTTTTGAAACAGGCTTAATAATAGTGCATATTTTAAAACTGTCTCTGGTTAGCAGAGAATGGCAGCATTTGTTCCCATTTACATGTCTAAAATTTCTCTTGGTCTCAGCATTGGGTTCCCAAAGAAGGCAAAATTAGGGAAAGGTATGTTCCCACTTTTAGAACACCTCAGACTCTGCCATAGCAACTTCCTCACTGATTAAGTCCCTGAGAATTGCTAATAACATTTGTTACAGCAGATGCTTGTAATACTGTGTCATGTGCTGAAGGCCTGATCCAACCAGGCACCCTGCATCCCTGTGTCTTTTTGAACTTAATGTGAAGTGGTGGTGCTAAAGGGAAAGGTATGTTCCCACTTTTAGAACACCTCAGACTCTGCCATAGCAACTTCCTCACTGATTAAGTCCCTGAGAATTGCTAATAACATTTGTTACAGCAGATGCTTGTAATACTGTGTCATGTGCTGAAGGCCTGATCCAACCAGGCACCCTGCATCCCTGTGTCTTTTTGAACTTAATGTGAAGTGGTGGTGCTAATTGTATATCCGGTGTGTTGACAGATTAAGAATATGACAGTTTGGTTTGCATAGTACTATTACCATAACTAGTGATTAAATTAGCATTGAAAACTGCTAGGCCAATTCCTTGTTCTGCACTCAGTCTGCATGAGAACATGAGGACTACGATGGGTCATAAAAAATTCTGCAAATGACATTGTACAAAGCAATGCTAGTAATACCTTTTCTGTGGTATGTGTACAAGTATATACAGTTTCTAGCCATGATCTTATTATGAGTTTCTCCAGAATAAGAAAAAAAGAAAAGAAAGGATCTGCCCTTTGCTAAAGAGTTTAGAAAAGAATTGCCCCTTGGCCATACTTCTGTAAGAACTGTTTTTCCAGACTATTGATCCATACCTTTACTTATTTTGAGAAATCAGATTTTTATTTTTGGTGGAATACTTTCAGCGAAGTACTGCTGCATTGGAGCTGATGGTAAAATTCTCACTGGTTTCAGCGAAATCAGGATTTAAGTGTAAGCCATATACTACAGCTCTCCTTCACTTCCCTACAACTGCAATTCAACATCTGAAAACAAGACTACATGAAGGCTCCTTGCTAAGGCTATGGAAGAGTGATTTCCTTTGTAAGTAAAAAAATAGCTTACAAGGTCATAAACTCCAGTGTCTTGTTTTATACCAAACAGTCCTATTTTGATGTAGTCAAGAATTATGGTACACACACATTTATAGTGTTTAATATCTTTAATTGGCATTTCTTTGCAGTTATTTCTTTAAAATGATTTGTTAAAAATATTTTATTCTAATTATACAGTTCTAATGTGATCTTCATTTTTGTGTTTGCTCTTGTCACTGATGATGTTCATTACTAGCACTTGGAGATTTGGTGGTAAATCTGTAAATTCTACTGTTCTTCACTTCTGTATCAGCAGTAGGCTCACTGTACCTTCTTAAAGACCTGCTTACACTTGACTCCACACACTCTTATTTCCTAGGAAGAGAAAATAATTAAAAATCACAACTTTTACATAGGATGCATGCATTATACATTCATGTGTATGTCCAGCTTAATTTGAATCCAAAATTTTCTATCCAATTACATTGGGTAGCTTGTACATATTTTAGCCTATTTTTAATCCTTAAAGAAACCAGCTGGTTTGAGTTTGTTTTCTGGTGAAAGATGAAGTAAGAGAAGTTACTTTGGGATCTCAGATCTTAAAGGGCCAAGTATGTTCCTGGTGCATTATTCTTGATTCACAGTGTGTGCAACTGCTTAGGTCTTTGAAATAGGCATTCTCTATTTTGGACACATAAAATAGTTATTTGGGGATGGATTTGAATAACCTGTTCTGAATCTGTATGTTGATGCCTGGTAGTTCAGACCTACAAAACCAGGAATCAGCTGAAAGCCCACTTTAGCAACAGAATGATCATGGCTAGAAAAGGACAGGTAGTTGTGTACAGAAGATTTGATCTAGGTTTATAAATCACAGCACTAAGTTTTGGTTGAACTTGACCATACTGGATGCCTACTGCTGTTTACTGTCCCTTTCTGTTCCATAAGAGCTTTTCAAAAATCCCTACTGGCTACTCATTGGATCCTTGTGAACTGTGCATAAGCAGCTGCAATGATGTTTACATCTTGTGTACTGATTTGTGAGGCCTACTGGTGTTTACGTAATCTCACTGAAGATGCAGTTTAATCTTCTACATTACTGAAACTATTTAAGTTAGACTTGAGAAGTGCACACAGTATGTGTGTGGATGTGTGGAGGTGTTGACTGGTTTTGGTGGACAACAAAAAGGGGTGGAGCTTTTTAAGGGGCATAAAGACAAAAGTTATGTATGACCTAGAAGAAAGGATGTACTTCCTATTTCAAGATAAGACTTTTAATAAAGCTGTCAGAATATTTTTAGGAAACAGCAGGCAGTATTTCCTGGGAAGTTGTGCAAATTTTCTTATGGGGGACTTTGTTAAGATGACATATTAAAAACACCTTACACTGAGTCAATAATCTTATTGGCATACATTGCTAGGCCATAGTAAGAGAAAGTGCTTCATAATGAATTGATGAAACAAGCAGACTGATACAGTGATTTTTAGTTAGGACCTGTTTTGTTCACTTCTATGTAAGTAACCTGGAAGAAGCAGTGTGCAGCAGGGGCTAAGAGATCTGCTGACAGTGACAAAACCCTACAGAACAGAAGCAATCAATACAGTAGAAAAGGGTAGTAGAACTCAAAAGGAAATGGAGAATAGTCAAATAAGTCACTCACATAAAATAGAATCTAAGGAGGAAAAAGAAATACAAAGTACAGACCATAGAATGAAATGGAGAAAATAGGAGGCGATAAACTACTAAATGATGTGGTACTACTCTCTACAGAACTGTGGAAAGAATTAAATTAACACTTGGCTCATTGTGTAAAGTTCAATAGGATAATAAAGCTATTGAAGTATCAATTTTTTAGAGGTAACTGCCCATTGTATCAAAGGACTTTCAAGAGTACAGGACCTAGTAATCTTAGCTGGTCAAAAATAGGATACTAAATGGAACACTTTATGTCTATATTTATATATATACATATATGAATGTATATAAAACACATATATATAGTTATATGTAACTCTTTCCATGAAACCTAAATGTGTTAGGTGTTAATGGAGAGAGTTACATTAACAAGGATTCAGAGAAATAAAGAGGACATCTTTTGAAGTTCATGAAATATAAAAAAGTGATAAAACTGAAATATTGGTAACTGGTCTCCAGAAAACTTGGTTACTTCCTTTGCATGAAGTAATTTGGTACTGGCTGTTGTGTATATGAGAGACAGATTGTGATAAGTTGTACAAGTGCCAATGACTGCATGGATGCCTGCATGAGCTGGCAGGTATGATACAGAACTCTTCACAACCTCCTGAAAAAGCAACCTCTGATCAGCCAGGTTACCTTGGAGTACCTAAAGTAGCACTAGACACATATGTTGGAGCAATTGAATCCAACTTCCATAATCAAGCTCCTGACAGGGGTCCAGTATTGGAAGTGGTCTGGCCTGGAGGTCCATGGCTAGGTTGTATGGCTAGAGCATGAATCAGAGTAAGGATAGCGGAAATCAAGGATAAAGAAATTGGTGTTGGTGACAGGAAACGGGAAGCGATAATGACTGCGGAGCTGGCAAGGGACAGGAACCAGGATGCCAATACAGAGAAATCCAAGAGCAACTACTGCTGTTACTTCATATGTGTGCAGATGGGTGCACATGTGTATGACTGAGTGCAGCAAGGTATAAACTGAACTTCTAGGCCACTGATTGTAGGGGTAATTGCAACCTGTTTGCCAGCAGAGAATCTGAAAGGGCTGATGCTTGGTGTCAAGGCACCGACTGTTGTGAAGCTGGGAGGTAGTGTGGAAATACTGTAGTGTGTTCCTGTATAGATAGAGGGAATATGTATATACAGGAAATTCTGGAGTCTCTTTTTTATTGCTTCCCCCTATTTTCAATGAGCCCATGACCTCAGCTATAAGGTGATCACTTACACAGTAACTTTCTCCCTACCTGCATTATATATTGTATCTAGTAGTCCAGATGGTAAGATGTCATATACACTCCTTTCCTGAACTGGTTTCTAGGACTTCAGTACTTCCTGAAAATTGTTTTTAGTAATAAGAGGTTTGAGGTACTTTTGCAAAGATTTCATAACTCTGCTACTGATTTGAATATTTAAAGAACATCCATTTAGACTGCTGAATGCTAATAGTACTGAACAGTGAA